CCTCCGCCAAAGACTCTAACGCCCAGCCACTTTGCGCAAGTTCTTTAAAAGCCATCAAGCTCATTTGCTTCACGACACATCGGTTTGAATTTGTCCTTTTTTGAATGTTTGGCAAAGTCCAGGAAGGGTCCAAGGCCTTTTTGTTGTAATGTACTTTGACAATCTATAATCTGACTAAGGCAAGTTGGGCCAAGTTCCCCCGCGCCTCGGCTCATTACGGTGCACCGTTTGGCGCATATGCGGCACTCCTATTGCGAGCTTGAAACTATGCGGATGCTGTTTGTTGGCCCATCACAAGCCTCCTAGCCTAGTTCAAGATTTAGCTGTGTGCCGGGGTTGAAGAGTCAGAGTGCATCTTAGGAAGGCAGAGCCGAAAGCGAGGCCTGAAAGCTGTGGTCATGCAGGACAACGATTCCTCCTTTGTTGAGTGCCAGAGCAACAAAAGGGTCACACTGGTCACACTTGGCCCGAGGTCTTCATTCATGACATTTACTCGCTCAACGTATACACACATACAGATATATATATATATATACACACTTATACACACATACATATATATATATACACGCACCTTGCAAAGACTGGTAGCTGTCCGGTATGTGAATGAACTGACTGTTGTTGAATGTCAGTTCCTTGCCTTTTAGCTAATTTGCGTGAGTCCACCATGCCATGAATGGTGGGTAAAATGTTAAAAAGCTCAACACAAACTTTCCCAAAGAACATTCCCTTTTTGGTTTCCACACGCTGCACCACGGACAGCTTGGTTTGAGCAGGCAAAGCTCTGGCGAGAAGAGGCTCTGTTGGGGCGTGTCTCTGCCATCTTGAGATTTGACCTGGCTCTTGCCATCTGATCTGAACTCTGAACTTCCTTCCAGCAGCTTCCAGGAAAGCGCTGATGATGGCATTGCTCCAGCGCCAGGCGATACGATAATTCCGCCTAGTCTTCAAGCTCAACTCTAAAGATTTGCTTGCTGTCAGTTGACTAAGGGAAGGGGCTTGTTTCAAGTGAAATGTGGCCTGTACAAGTTGACCGTCGTAGCTCCTTGCGACGTCAGTCGCCAGCAATGTGTTTCTTGCTGCCGTGTATGTTGCAGTATGGCCACCTATTGAGACTTGGAAGACGGAATTTTGCATGCCATATTTCTACCAAGCTGGCTGGAAAGTGGCTGGAATTGGAGGAGGCGCTCTTGGAACCTTCACGCGCAGACCATACACAGTGGAGGGAGTCAGCGAGAGCTGAGTAAGTCCTTGGCAAGTCAAGATGGAAGGTACAAGTTCTCTGGTTAGTAGAGGTTCTTCGCTCAGAAGAATGAAGGTCTCCATTGGCACCGGGTACCCCCCTGCATGTGTGCATGAGTTAGGCCCTAATTAGGCCAAAATCATGTGTCATGGCTGAAAAGAGGTTTGCAGCTCACACTGCATCAAACATTGTCATGTGATTCAGTGGGGGTCAATACTTAATGAAATAGCAGCCCTGACACACACACACATACATGCATGCATGCATGCCTACCTACCTACCTACCTACAGATACATATATATATATGTACCCTCTTATGTACATACACAACACATACAGGCGCAGCATAGGCACTTAATCTATATATTGTAAACGTTTAGCTTCATTACATGTTGCAGGTCTCGACTCCGAGAAAGCGTCCGGCACTTTTGGCCACCGGTGGTGCCCAAGCCATGGCGGAGGTGGCTGAAGAGCTGCTTGGCAAGGAGAGCCCAACGTTTTGAATTCTCCTCACCGACTCTTGACCTCATCTCACAAGCTTTGTTCTATCCTTCCACATCCTTTCATTCCTTCAATGATTAAGGTTTCACGGCCTTGCCTGTGTTGTGCAATAGGCCTGCGCAGATTGAAGAATGTGGGTGCTGCAGCGAAGCATGTTTGAAATCAACGCCCTTCAACCGTTCTGCGTTTAAACTAGAAGTATTCCGTAGCTGACATCGTGGCGCTCATTCTGGGATCTCTATAGTGTGTTGTCACTGAGGCTCAAATTTCAGCAAAAGTGGTTCAACGAGAACAGGCTGGGTTGCTGCGAATCAAGGCACACACCCGTGATGTACATATAATATGTACTGTATACATCATGTATAGGCTTCCTTCCGAAAATGTGGGGCTTGGGCTGCCAAGTCAATAGAACTCGATTCGAATTGTTTTGTGTTTCCCACAGAGCGTGATGCAGTGAAAGCATGCGAAAACAACAGGAATCGAGATGCTTTCGCGATGCATGGTAAATATCAATGTAATGGCTTGCCTTGTTGTCGGCAAGGCCGCGGTGGATGCCATATCTCTCACAAGTCCCCTTGCCGCAATGGGCCGGAAATGGAACAGTTGAAGTGTTAGTGGCCATGTGTTTGCTTGTCCAGCCCAAGTCGATGTGTCAAGAACATTCAAGAATCAAGTAGTCTTGGGCACCCGTATTAGCAAATGTGGAAGTGGATTTCATCCTAGCGTGGTTCAGGAAGCAAAACAATACCGTGGCGTTCAGCCATTCTCTATGCAGAAGGCGCAGGAGCTGGAGGACTATCTCAAAGGCAGCTGACTTTTGTTGCCGCGTCGATCATTTCAGTGGCTTCCACTCGTGGCTCCACAACTGGCAATTCGTGAGCATGAGATGTTCGCCGTGTGTGCGAAAGTCTTTTACTGTAGGACATTTCAAGACAGTCGTTGTGTTTTCATCATGTACGTGCGGCCAGGTATTGGTGCCTTCAAGGGCCGAGTGCTCTGAGCAAAAGTCGGCCCAATTGCTGCACCGCAGCTGCTTTGATTGTTGGATTGATCACTCAATGAGCGATTAAGGACATTGCAAGGTGGAAGAGGCACACAGTGGTTCCTTGCAAGATGATACATCCAAGGTCCCAAGGCAGTGTCCTATTCCGGCAGTGCCGGTGTTGACTGCACAGTCACAGTCTCTAGAAGTTTGGCTCCAGCACGTCTCAAAGATATTGCATGACTGCCGTGTACACATTTGCCAGCTCATGCTCCACGAATGGTTCCTTCGTTATTTTGACTCCTAAGTGCACACCAGATAGAAGATGATAGAAGATAGTACGTAGTTCATGCAGGTATATGCCTGCCCCCTCAGCATGTCTTAAGTCCTTGATTCGTAAGGCGCATGATTCATGATGATTCATGCTTGATGTGTATATATATATAAAGCATTATAAAGCTATATATGTAGAGCTATATATATATAGTTATATATATATATATGTGTAATATAGTGCAAGCCTTCAAAGGTAAGAAATCCAATGCAGTGCAGAACATGACAATCGATTCAGCTTGAGATTTTGCAGCCTGAATTCCTCGAAGCTTTTGATGTCTCCGATTTGATGCAGGCATGGGGTGTGAGGTGTAATGGCTGTGGTGTGGGCTTGAGACAAAGCATGTTTAAAACAGAGCTTTCCTGCGGGCACAAGCACTTGGCCGCACTTTTGAGACCTCACCTAGTCGGATTTTTCCGGAGAAAGCAATTGGCAGGACTTGGCCAAAGCAGCCAACGATGCTGCAGAAGCAGCATCTCTGCAACGAATTGCGGCAGAGATTTCTTTGGAATCTCACGGATACGCTGCCTGGCAGAGTGCCAATTTCAACATACGACACGTCAAATTTGTGTAGGCCAAATTCGCCGCCCCTGACTCTGAGGAACCCATCCGACGTTTGGGAGGCTCCACCACAGCTACGGTGATGGTCGTGCAACGCTTGGGCATGCCAGAGCAGCAGTTTGTAGTGAAGGCCATGGCATTGCGTGGGATGGATGAGCAGGAGCGGAGGCGGGCTCTACAAGAAGTCAAGATCTTGAAGAGTTTGAGACATGAATGCATCATCGAATATATAGAATTCTGGTGGAATGGTGCGGGGCCAGACTCAAGCCGTCTGACCATTGTGATGGAATGTGGCGAGAACGGGGACTTGCGTGTTCCTGTTCAAGCAGCTAGCCACTCTGGAAGATACTTGGAAGAAGTATTAATTCTAAGCTGGCTGCAACAGATGTTGAAAGGCTTGGAGCATGTACATCAGAAAGATATTATTCACAGAGATTTGAAGGCCATGAACATCTTCCTGAAAGACACCTGGCGAACTTGCAAGTTGGGTGACTTTGGAATCTCAACAGCTGTGGAAAGAGGAAAATCAGCATCTGGGTGCGTTGGGACTCCTGCCTATATGGCACCAGAGCTCCTCTGGAATCAGAGGTATGCGTCAGCAGTGGATTTGTGGGCAATTGGTGTTGTTCTCTATGAATTAATGGCCTTGCGATTGCCATTTGTTGGCTCCAACGTGCTCTCCCTGGTGTACCAGATAGCCTTCAATAACTATGAAGATTCACCGCTACAATTGGGTTGCTACTCGCCATTCTTGATTGAGCTAGTGTCCAGACTTCTTGACAAAGACCCCACAAAGAGACCACATGCTGCACAGCTGTTGAGCGAAGGTCCGCTGTGGGAGAGTTTCTCTTTCGAAGCGGCTAGGCTATCTGCCACATCATCATTCAATCAAAGCCTCTCCTCACGCTCCCTCTCATCTGCCCAAGTTATTGAAGCCGGCAAAAGTGTCACAGAGATGCCCGGCGTCAATGCTGAACCTACTCGATTGCCATTGGCCACCGGAACTGGTAGCTCTTGGGGCGA